GGAGGGTGGATTTCATGGGGGGGTGGGAGATGGGGGGAGTAGGTTAGGTTGAGAAGGGGAAATGATGGTGAAGACCCTGGAAGTACCGTAATGTCTGTCGCCAAGGCACGCTTGCAGCTTGCATTCAGGGGGGTGGTTAGCTTAGTTACCGTGGCGGAGGGCAGGGGTTGCCGTGTCTTGCACGATACAAGATAGGTACTCTTGGCCCAAAGATATAAAGATGAAGGGGTCACGGGGTGGGGGTAAGGGGTATGAGCGCATGGCCGCATGGGTCTGTTGGGCATGGGTTTCACGCTCGTCATACCGCCAGGAACTCAATTGCGCTACCATTTCTGTTCTGTCTTCGGCGACAGTACGGTACCGGGCAGGGCACGAGGGAAAAGAGCACCTGATTGGGGTACCGATACCATAGGGGAGGCAAATTCCACGCATTGACGCCTCCACCATCTCTAATCCACCAGCCCAGTGCTCGTCAGCACCAAACCAGCTTTTCTTTTTCCCCAAAGCCAAAGGGAATTTACATAATTCTACCGTAAGCCAATGCGTTAGGTAATCTGGCCCAGACCATTCGGAGAATTAAGCCTCCTGGGGTTTTGGTGCTGGGGAGGGGGTCCCTTGATGTTGAGGTTTGAGGGATGCAGGGATGGGGGGATCCTTGGATGCGTGATGCGTGAGGGTGGGACTATCCTGGGCGGCTGATGTTGGGGTTTGGGGGGCTGGGGATTGGATGGTGCGGGTTGGAGATTGGTATTTATTTTCTGTATTTATTCATACGTATCGTACATACTGGGGTTGGTACTGCGGTGGCTACTCGTGCGTGAGCTTGGCGAGGGTGTGAGAGCTGGAATTGGACTTGGTGAGGGTGAGTTTGTGGTGGAACTACCATAATACAATAGCAGTAGGTGCACATAATTGCAAGTACAACTACCCGTACTGCAGCAATAGCACCAGCAAGTCAAGATACATCAGCGCTCGTGCGCTTTCCGCGTGGGGAATGCGGGATTCGGATGTTGGGATGGAGCTTGAGCATAAGCTTAACTTCAACCTCAACCCCAACTTCCCTCTCACCTCGACCCGACCCTAGCCCCAGATCTCAAAAAATAAATGCCCCCCCCCAAACCCAAGCCCAAGCTCGTATAACAAATAGCCGTAAATACCCACGTTCCTTGCTCATTGACCTATAGCACCACCGACGCGTTATACTCTATCAGGACAACTAAGGACATTGTACAGCACGCGCAGTGAAAACAGTCCTCGCCCCTGATCCCCTTCCCACGGTCCACCTCATACAGCGCTTACAACCACTGCCGCTCCCGTTCCCGCGATCCGTTCCCGCGGCTTGGCGGATGAAAAAGGTGGAGTCTTACTGTATTTCTAGGTACAATTGTGGAGACGGGGCGTGCGTATCCAGTAGGTCTAGGTGGTGACCGCGAAGTGGTCTGGACTCTGCAACATGGGGTTGCGGATCGGTATGGGTCTTGAGTCTGGGAACGAGGATCGGGTATGGTAGGTATATACAACACTGCTAATATTGTACAACTGCGTATTGGTTTTTGGGTCGGAGTTTGTGGGGCAGGGGTCTGGGATTGAGGTCTGCATCTTGGAGGCTGGGCGTCTGGAGGCTTATTACAGTGGGTATTATTAGTCCAAGGATAGATTTGGATGGTTGGGAAGGGGCTGGAGTCGGGGTTAGCGATGGGTCTGGGGATATGGTCGAGGGTTAGCGATGGGTACAGGGGAGAGGTAGGTCACGGGGCAATGGTTTGCATTGTTGGGGCGCGAGGCGAGGCGGATTGGCATCAGGGAGTAGGGATGTGTCGGTTTGGGTATTGTCTACCTACCTACATACACAGGGGAGTCGGGGTTTGGGGTTTGGGGTTTGGATGTTAGGGGAGTAGGGGTTGTGATTCGGGTGGACGGAGAATTTGTGGTGCAAGCCCAGGCAGGGTTTGTGGGACAAGGGTTATGTTGGGCGCGGTAACGGATCGGTAGGATTCGGTTGGATTGGTCTCTCAGTGGTTGGGCCTGGTAGGCATGGGTAAGGGTAGGATATGACAGGTCACATGGATAGAGAGAGTAATTAGGTGCTGCAAGGCACGTCAGGGGATCTGGATATGCCTACCTAATTAACACTTTTTTTGTCTTATACCCTTTCCGCCAGGGAAAATGCCTGTCGTGGTAAGTCACATTCACACAAATTCGCAGGTTTCGGGATACGCGTGATTTGAAAATATTTTTGTTGAATAGACTTAGATGGCAGTGAAAAGATCGGAGATATCCAAACTCCTTCGTGATCGCCGCCATTGGTGAGTTTGATATCAGGCCTTGAGCTCAAGTCCCCCTTTATGCGGTCCGTTTAGCCCTAGTAAACTATGATTCGTAGTAATGAAATGAAGACTTGCAATCATGCATGCAGAAATGCAGAAATATGTGGATAGGGAAGGTTTGCCAGGCTCGATAGAGTGAGTATCACAGGTAAAGGTGATGTCGCTTGCATCTGTCTCCATGCAGCGACTGGTTCGCACGATGCAAAGTCAAGGCGGCAGTCAGTGATAATGGAGCGGCAAATGATATTGGTGGAAAAACAAAGCAGAAGCCATGTGGAAAACTTAGGACCTTGAAACGGAGATGCTGATGTTGATAGTGCTAGGATGAGAAGGGTAGTTTGGAGGTCATTGAGACTGGATGCCTGATGATACTGGTTTCAGCTGAATGGGGAGATACGAAATGGATAGAATCTCGATGGAGAGGTGATGATATAGATTGGAAAAGATTGAGGCGAAGAAGAGGCAGTGGTGGCTTGTTGTGCTGGCAGCTGGCATTCAAGCTGAATCGGTGCTTGGTCGAGAGACGTTTGAACGGAAATTCAAATATGGTCTGATGATGTTGAAACCATGTCCAGTCTTGGGAATTTTGCAGGTGGTTTCAGGGCTATTAGCTTGCAGCTCGTCAACCTTGCGCTTCATCTTCTGATCAGCCTGCTCGAGCGCTTTTTCGGTGCGCTTCGTCTCGATGCGCGACCTCCAAATCGTGTTGTCCCAATCAAATTGCCAGTCTTCGCTATTCTTGCTTGTGATGACCTTTTTGCCCCGGAATTTGTGTATCTTTCGGCCATCGTACGGCCAGATACTATTAATGGATGACCTGAGGATGAAACCGCCGGCTAACCACTCTTCAGGCTGCCCATGCTTGACGTACTCGGTGTCGGGCAGGTACAGTCCACTGCGGCGATTTTCTGCTATGGAGAACCAGCATTCAGAGCGACATTTTTCAAATTCAGCAAAATTGATGTCGGACCTATCCTTTGAAACTGCATGCTCACGAACCCAACATGGCACCTTTACCGTGACTTCCCTTGTCTTTGGGCTGTTAGCCTGTTCAGTAGACGGCGTCGCTGATGGAGTTGAGGTATCCAGAGAAATTGGTGGATTGGAGGTTTCCAAGGCGTACTCGCCAAAAATTTCATCATCCACATCGTCTAATGTTTCGGTCGCAAAATGCTCCTCTGCAACATCATCCCCATCCTCAGATGAGTCTGATGAGAGAGAGCCTAGATCACTCTCAAGATATGCATCAGTGATATCAGCAGAATCAGCATTAGCGACATCAGCAGACTCTGGATCATCAGCTGATTTGTTCGGCTCAGCATCTGTAGTCAATGCCTTTGTTGTCATATCATCTGTGGAATCACAAGGAACGATCTCCTTAAAATTCAAAAAAGCCGGCACAAGACTCTCAGTAGAGATCTTTACGACCATGAGCCTCCTGCATTGCAACCGGCTGTCGTGGTACAGAAAATGGGCGCGGTTGGCAGCCATGTCTATATTGTAGTATGAGCGAATCATTCTAAAGTAGTCTTACAATTACACTTACTCTCTGCATTAAATGCTGAGATGAAAGAAGTGAATGGGCGCTTTCTCTGCCATTGGCAATGACGAAGGACCCTTTCGCTTGTCACATCGCGCAATATGAGGAAGTCGTTCATGCTTTGAAACGCAACACCCTCTTGAAGGTCAGGGTGATTACTGGGCCAACATGCCTTGGTTTCGAATGGCGTGATGGTTGCCGACTTTTCGTAAGTAGCCCTATAGAAGGCTCCTGGAAGATCTCCATGAAGTTTGTTTTTCGCGGTATTATATGCTTTCAAGTCCTTGGGAAAAGACCTGTCTGGGTTTAGTATTGGAATGCATGATTATGCTTCGACTTACATGAAGGCACAGTCCTCTTTGTAAAATGTCTTCAATTCTAGACTCGTGGCTTTTGAGTTTCTTCTCCCTTTACCCAGTTCCTCTTTTGCTATGGCTGCCTCAGCTTTCAATCTTCTCAACTCGGCTTGAAGCCTTTCGAGTTCTAGCCTTGGGACTGAATTCCTCGTGTCCGAGTCATGTTCGGCTGAGAGAACTGGTGATAGCCGCTTTCCAAGGGAATTGCTGCCCATGATCGATGCAAGAAGAGAATTACTCAATAAATCTCAGAGAAGATATCTGGAAGGAAGTTAATGCAAACAAGATCTGGCTGGTGGCAAATAGGAAAATTGCTAGGCTTGATAAGAGTTAGCCTTGATTATGCAGAAAAATAACGAAGTTGTAGGCCGGTATGAGAGAAAGTGAGATGTTCAAGTGAGATTCCTGCGCTCGTTTCATCTAGATAATCCGTATACTACTATCACGGGTGAGGGAGCTTCAAGGTATGGCACATGATAATGGAAATGGGTGAGCAATGTTAGTCAGGAGTATTTCAATGAAGTAAATGTGGATAGTCAAGGCGGTTGGCCAAATGATAAATCCGTAAGTGTGTAACATGTCGTTCGTCAGCTTTGAGGAAGGTGGAGCTGAGAGGCATAGCAGATACGGGTCTTGCAGTACTCAATCCGATCAAATGTCATATTGAAGCTGAAAGCTGAAAGAGCGATGGAGTGTGGTACGATTGAGGAGGAGAGGGATCCAAGTAAGTGAGCCTGGAGGTCTCCAATGCTGAGACGTCGTACGTTTTGCCAAGCAATGAGCTGATGTGATTGGCCGTCGCAACCGCCTCTCAGCGGGCCGCAGCATCGCACGACTGGGTAACATCCAACAGTGCCCAAACCAGCAATTCCGGCTTGACAAGCTGGACGTGATTGTCGGTCGATACAATGAATCCAGCGATAGAGACGGAGATTCTTAACAAGTACAATCTCTCGACATTGTACCCTGCAGCATGGCCAGACGAGAAGAATGAAGCCGACGAGGACGAGGATGACGACTTTCAGGAGCCCATAGCTGTCCCCAGAGCTGCCCCGCAAAAGGTGCGCCGGTCGCAATCGCGCTTCTCCGTGTTGGAGGATAGATCACGGTTCTCGCGCCAGGTCCCTGGAGCTGAGCGGTCGAAGGATGGTGTGGAGAACCTGGTGCAGAAGGACGAGCAGGACCCGTTGGGCATGTATCCCAGTGTTGTCCAGGTGCTGCGGGCGAAAAACATACCGGTAGAAGATGACATGAAGCTGCGTGAGTTGTCGACACAGTACAATACCTTTGAGGTGACCAACGGCTCATAGAATGCATAGGCAATCGCTTTCTTCTGAGCTCCACCACCTTCTCGCCATCCCTCTTCCTGTCGCAAGTTCACAGCGAAGCGTCCACGGACTCCCTCCTGGCTGGCCTCGATTTCCTCTCTCGCTCGATTGAGAAGAAGTCAGCTTCGCTCAAGGTCCTCGTCGAATCCAACTTTGAGCGCTTTGTGGGCGCAAAAGCGACCATTGACAGGGTCTACAATGAGATGCGGGATCAGGGCAAGGAGGCCGAGACGCCCAAACTTCCCCAGCACACTCGGACTGGTAGTCGATCTAGCTTTGCTGGACGAGAGAGGGGACCTAGTTTCTCACTCTCGGCGGCGGCGGCACAGCCAGCGCCAGTGGAGAAGAAGAAGAAGAAGAATGCGCTGGTCAAGGAGAGTGAATACGGTGTCTCGGGTATCAAAGTTCCGCTTACTGAGGTCGCGGTGAAAGCAGAAGAAGTCTGGGGGCCTGCATTGAACGGACGTGAAAGAGAAGAGACGCTTAAGTCTATACTGGAATCCGTGGAGCAGAATCGAGGATTATTCGAAGTTGCGTCGTCTATGCAAGAAGCCATACGTCAAAGAGACCACGAGGCAATATCTGAAGAATACAAGCGTGCGCGCAAGTACGTTGACGAGGCGCGAAATCTGGTTGAACGAACGCACGGTACGCAGACGCCGCTTTCTGACGCCCATATACATTTGATAATTGTGACGGCGCGCATGTGGTCCGACGTCGAGCGACAGCTTGAGCAATTCAAACGCGACGCCTGGAAGCGACTGGGGTCTACGCACTTTGTCAGTCACCAGACTGGGGGAGAGGAAGTTAAATCAGATCAATATCTCACCATTATCTCGATCATGTTGGAACTTGGTACAGACGAGAACCCTATCTGGCATTGGCTCACATCACGATATGAATACCTCAAATTACGCCTTAGTACTACTTGTGAGCGATCGAGAGTGGAAATTGAGGTTCTTCGAAGACATCTTGCCAATGTGGAGAAGCCAAACTTGCGCATGTTGCAGAAGCATCTCCGCTCTGTACCAACGAGTAGCAACGTTAGTCCCGAACCTTCGAAGCTCGACACGCCCAAGGTTATTGAGTTCTGGGAGCACATACAAGCTTCCTTGACTGCGCTTCTTTCCAACAAAAACGGTCTATTGGCTGAGCTTATAGAGTACTGGGAGATTGCACAGTCCTTCCTATCTGGCCGCGCGCAGCGGAACTTGCCAACTGGATATCAGAATCAATCTTCAGTGCACCATACACTGACCGAAGAGAATCGGATTGAGCTAGAGAGAGGATTGACCGAGCTTATCAGCATCATTCGAGATCACTTGTATTCCTTCTTTTCAGATCCTCCCATCGAAGATGTCTCATTACTATTTTCGCCTCTACCCGTCTCGCCAATCGCAGCAACACCGAGAACACCCCTTAGTGCTGCCTTGAGTCCAATATCAGGTTCACGATTCCGCTTCGATCAAAGTAATCTCCCACCACCATCTCCTAATCGTGGTGAGGCATGGGAGAAGTATGCCTTCTGGCCGCCGCACTCGAATGCTCTCTCAGGATCTCATTTCCTATCAAAAGCTATGGTCCTGGTTGGCACTGCAGCCAACGAATTGGCGTCATTGCGACTACCAGAAACCGGTCTGAGTTCACGATTCGACGAGCTTTTGCGCCTCTTGCTCGGCAACGTGCGCGAGCGCTGTGTCCAAGCTATCTGCGCATCCTGGAACGCCGATGCTGAGAAGATGAAGGTCTTGGAAGACTGGACCCGCAATACTGAGCGCAAAGATACCACAAACCTACCTCAACGTTTCCTCGCGGTGCAAAGTTTCCTACTGAACAATCTACAAAAGACACTCTACGTCGAAGCTGCGACCAAGACTCGCGTGGATGTAGTCGTCCCGCCTAGTAATAAGCTGTTGCAGATGGTGAGGAGCCAATTCGTGACAAGCTTGTACCGTACTTTCACCGGCATGGTGGAATGTGCGGATCAAGGCCGGAAAGCACTAGGAAGTGACTTTGAGGTCAAGGGCGACGATCTCACAATCGATGAATTGGAACTTGAAGAACGCGGAGACTGGGGCCGTGTAGATGCAAACAAACAGGTAAATTCCTATTACACCTCACACTGTCTTTATCTTCCAATGCTAACGATCAAAACAGTCAACCCGTCTTCTCCTCACCCTCTCCAACATGGCTTGCTTCCAATCCTCCATCGCCCCGCAACTCGTCTCCCTCTTCGAGACCCTCTTCTCCGTCCAACTCACCGACGAAACCGCGCGCATCCGCGACGTCCTCTCTCAACTCGATGCCCAGCTTTTCAAATCTTACACCAAACCCCACGCCACACGCATCCACAACACCATCGAAGCCGGCATCTTCAGCCCGACCTGGGCCCCTCCACCCGCACCCAATCAAGGCATCGCAGACCGCGACCCAAGCCCCTATGTCTTCAACGTCCTCCTCGACCTCGTCATCGTCCACACCGAAGCTTCCACAACCTCTGCACCACTCACCCCGCGCATCCTGCGCTCTCTCTTCGACGCTACTACCTCCTCGCTCATTAATACCTTTCGCTCCCCGAATCTACAGCACATCACGCTGCCGCAGCTTATGCAGGCTACCCTTGACGTCGAGTTCATGGCACAGACTCTTGCCGCGTTTACGACGGAGCGCGCGTCGCAAACGCAGACGGATATTTATCAGGTGTTGGATGCGAAGACGAATAATGAGGCGAGGGTGAGATTGCAGGAAGAGCTGGGGGCGTTGAGGGGCGTGTTGAAGAGGGGGAGGGAGGCGACGAGGGTTCAGTTTGGGTGTTTTAGACGCGGGAAGAGGGGGGGACCTGCGGGGCAGGGTGGTGGTGGTGGTGGTGGTGGTGCTGTGGTGGGTGGAGAAGGAGGAGAGGGGGAGGACTAGGTAGGGTTGAAGGTGGAAAAGAGATGTATGTGTGGTAATATTTTGGGTTGTATGTATTGTGCAGTTGACTCGTAAAGGGCGTCATTTAAATCATCGTCCCTCAACTTTTCTTTCGGGGAGTCGGTCTGTATAAAACAATTGAACGCCGCCACTATCCCGCTCCTCCATGATTAGGAGCTTCATGCTGCTGCTGTCGCTCGGGTTGTGTCGCCGTCGCTGTCGCTGTCGCGGTCGCTGTCGCTGTCGTCGACGGAATACTAAAATCATCCCAACTTTCCGACACCAAACCCGTCTCAACCCCCACACCTGCCCGTCCCACACCACGTACCTGTCCCGTCCCAACTCGCGTCCACTCCCACATCCCACGTGATGGCGATCTCTGCACTATCCCCCGCTCACTCCCTCCCTCTCGCCTCGTCCCACCCCCACCCCCTCTAGCACGACTGCCTTGATGCAAGCGAGCCCCGTCTCCGAAGCTTGGGAGGTGCACGTCGCGGACTGGGAGAGACGCCAACGTCTCCAGCATACGCGTCTGGCTCTGCTGCGCCCTTGTCCCCTCTGGCGGCACCAGACGGCGCAGTCTTTCCCTGTGCAGTGCGCGATCCCGCGTCCTGTCCGGGCTGGGCGGTGGAGTCGCAGTGACGGTCGCCTTGGATGTGCCAAGTGTTGAATTTGCCGGGCTTGTTAGGCTTCGGCGGAGGGGCCTTGCGTGTGCTGGGTCGCGTGGGCGAGCTAGGGGAGGAGGAGTTGGGGGAGGTGGTTTAGTTTAATTCTATAATAGGTAGCTCCTAGGAAAGACCTACAGGAGAGAGTGCTATTAGTATGTCACTCTATAAGAACACGGAGATAATTAAGGGCACCCTATCTAGCTCTTATAAGGGTGGTAAGCATAGCTCCTACCTACCTACTTTATGACTAAATTCTGTATCTCCTATAGATCCCTTATAAGCAGCACCTAGAGCTCCTAGAAGAAGTAGAAAACTATAAGTTAAAGGACTACCACTAACGTGTGTTAGTAAGCAAGCTTAAGGACAGGACCCGAATAAACTACTAAGACGCTTTATAAGTA